TATTGGGAGACCCAGGACAGCAGCTCACTGAGCACCAGACACTTTGCAAGGTCACTCCTAGGATTATGTCACACAAGCTTCCTATGAAGAGTCAGTGCTCAAGGAACAGGCATGACAGGGGGTAGGCAAAAGGCCTGCAGATCCACCCATGGATCCGTCTGGGGCTGTGGCTGCAGGGTGAGGGATGCAGAGAGCAAACGCCTCATGGGGGCAAGGCTTTGGCAGCTCCTCTCCAGCTCCGACCGTCCTCCACTGCAACCCTGGGCACTGTCGCCCCAAGGGTCAGGTCCTGAAGGTTGAGCCAGGGCATCAGGCAGAAAGCTGTCTTGTCCTTCCAACTGGGGAAGCTCGAGGGGCTGCTGGCTGGGCTCACCTCCTTGGCCTTGGCACTCCTAACTTCTCAAGCTTCTATATGATCCTGGGGCATTTGCATAGATTGAAGAAAATGGTGCTTATCAATGGCATTACACGTTAAAAATAATCGACAAGGTTGGTACTTAAAGACAGCCTGCTGTTCTGAATAAACTTGTCATTACTTGATGAGAATCTTTTGCAAGTGACTTCTGACAGATGTTTTTTTAATTTCCCACCCGCACCTCACTGCCCTATGCTGCCTGGAGGGAAGCCAGAAACCCGAGAAAGTCACCTCTAATTTTTTTGCACATGCAGGTGGAAAGTATTGGGGTGGGGGCTGGTATTCTGGCACTGTCAGGACAGGAGGGGGGCCTAAGCAGCCACTGCTATGACTGATACAGGAACCAGGAGATGGGGGGCCTGCTTGGATCCAACAGCTGCTGAGGGCAGCCACAGGGAGGGGGCATGGGCAGGGGCTGGTCCTGGTTAGCGGAGAATACTGGTTCCCAATGGGGCTGAAGCTGGTGGCCTGTGTGTGAAAATGTAGTCTGTGGTACCTGGTGCCCTGGGGGAGGTCACAGGGAAGAGGCAGGGCCAGGCAGGCTTCCCATGTACTGCTGCCTTAAGGATCTTTGTAGTAGTTGGTTCACTCAGTAATAAAGAGCTCTAGGTGCCACAGACACCTCAGAGCCCAGGGGCAAGTTAGCTCTCACTGCACAGCAGGGATGTCATCTCTATTTGCCAGACTGAAAAACTGGACTCAAGGCCACCAGCAAGATTCCAAATCAAGTGTGCCTGGTCCATTACTCTCTCAATAGCATCATGCAACTGAGCACAGTGATCCTGGACTCCAGGCCTTGCTGCTCCCAGCCCAAGGGGGTGCTCACAAAGAACCACAACACATATGGGTACAGTGTACTGGCAGGATCTCAGTGTGATGTGATGCCTGTGTCCCAGCTCACTGGCCAGGGGGACTGGGAACACTTACTGCTTCCACCTTTTCTTGCCCACTCCTTCCTCTATAGCACTAGGAAGTCATACCTGTCCCCTCTGGTCCCCAAGTACAGGGTTGGTGGGAAGGGCAGGCTCAGGGGCACTGATCCTTCCCCAGTGTTAGGCAGACCCTCTGGTGTGCAGGGGCTGGAGGTGAGCCTTAGAAGCCTCCACTGCACCAGCTATGCCAGCTCTGTTTCTGGAAGCCCCTGTACCAGTCATCTTCAGCAGAGGCCTGTGGGAAAATGCAAGGGACTAAGCCCATGCAGTCCTCCCCACAGGACACACCCCTCATGTTATTCCACATAACCACACTGTGGCCAGGCTATCACAGGTCCCTCTGGGAAGTCTCTTTTCTTGTGCAGTCTCTGAGGCTGGCACCATGGATGTAGGGGCTTTACTCTCCTTCTTGTGAGTGATGTTCTGGGAGAACCCAGGGCCAGGCTGAGGATTTGGACCTGCTGTGAACAGCAGACAATGTGGGACTGGGTCTCGGCAGCAACTGTTGAGACCCCCACAGACACACTGAACACTTCCTTCTGTTTTGGCCCGTCACTGATCTCTGGGCATAGGAAAGTCTCTCCCACATGCTGTCGCATACAGCCACAATGTAGGACAGTCTAGACCTGGATGTGTGTGGCACCAGCAGTGGCAGCAGAGTTCTCTGTTAGCACACTGGTCCTACTGATCCAGGATCTGCGATGCCAGGTGTTGCCTGGGCCAAGGATCCAGGTGCCCTGTTGTGCCTCTCTGCTGTAGCAAAGATGGCCTGCTCCCTGCCCCCGGTTCAGACACGCACGCACGCACCTCACCCTTGGCATAACTTCTGAAAGTGAGGGCGGCCAGTCTGCCCTCCGGGCCCACACAGGGGAGGGCACTAGCCAAGAGAAAGTTCCTTGTTTATCACTCTCTGTGGAGCTGCCCTGGGCCTAGAATGCCAATATTTCTGTCAAAGAGCACAGCTGAAAAGAGAAAAGGCTCCGCTGAGTGCTCAGAATAAAGAGTCCCTGGTACGCAAGCCTCACTTGCCACTTAGCTGAGCAGCCTTGCCCACAATCCACAACTTAGCCCAGCGGCCACTCAGGAATAATGTGCTTAAGCAACCCATAAAAATGCTGAGCTGGGGCTGGGAGTGGTGGCGCGAGCCTTTAATCCCAGTACTCAGGAGGCAGAGGCAGGTGGATCTCTGTGAGTTCAAGGCCAGCCTGGTCTACATAGTGAGTTCCAGGACAGCTGGGGCTACAGGGAGACCCTGTCTCAAAAAGAACCCCACCCCCCAAGAAATGCTGAGCTGGGAGCCCTGAGAGGGTAGTGGCTGCCACTCCAGTGAGTGCTCCAGCATGGTACACATGGTCGTCTGGGTGAGCTGTGGGGATGGGCGCTGGCTGCATCACTGTCAGAAGTCTACAGAAGAGACTTAACCGTTTGTTCCATGACAAACCAGCATGCCACTTGCCTAGGCCCCTGGCTGTGGAAAGTGCTGAGTGGAAAGCCAGGGACCCATAGCAGGGCAAGAGAGGAGGGGAGGGGCAGGCACCTGCTTGTGGAGGGTCTCTGTCCACAGTTGTGACTCAGCTGCGTGATCTCCAGAGGGTGTGGTGTGGTTCACAGGCCTCCACACTGCCTGACCAGGCCACTCTGGCCTCTCAGTCCACTGTGGCTTGTTCCCTTAAGACAGAAGCCTGACCCTTCTGCTCCTGGGCCCCTTGGAAGGCAGCAGGGGACACACTGCTGAAGACTGTCTCCATGCCACTACCCTCCAGGGTCTCCAAATGCTCAGGACCGGAGGGTGGACAGACTGGGCTCTGCCTGAGGTCTGGCTGGACTTTGCCAAGGGGTCTAGTGCAGAGGGTGGGCAGAGGACCAGTGCCCCAGTGCTTTCTGCTTTCCACCAGGCTGCCAGGGCCCCACTAGGGCATTCCCTTCAGAGCACATGGTGTAGTTCTGATGGCCCAGCAAACTAACACACACTACTGAGTTCACACGGCCTGTCTCACAGCTAGCTGCTCAGAGGACATAAACCATCTTTCCAAAATCCCACCACCTCAGACCCAGGATTCTCAGACACAGTGTGCCTGTCCCTTGCTTTCTGAGGCTCTGGGGACATCAGCTCCTGACTGCAGGAATGCTGGGACCAGATGGCAATGGTCTTTCTTGGTGGCTCTCACATGAGAGATGCATGTCTCCAGGAAGAGGAAGGAGAGGGGCTGCTCTTCAGGGTGGCCAGAGCCTCATGCAGGTGCTCCTCACACAGGTGTCCACAGCTTCTGTCCCTTCCAAAGTTTTCTCCATATGCCAGGCGTGGTGGCATATGACTTTAATCCCAGTACTCAGGATGCAGAGGCAAGCGGATCTCTGTCAAGGCCAGCCTGGTCTATATACTGAGTTCTAGGCTAGCTGGAGCTACAGGGAGAGACTGTCTCACCCTGACCCCCCCAAAACATCCCCAACAAACAAATAAACAGCAATGACATCCAAAACGGTCCCACATTTCCTCAGGAGCCACACTTAGCTTTGCTTGCCCTTTGCCAGAAAGCCACCAGTCTTGCAACTGCAGTCCACATGCCAAGAAGCCAGTCACTGTGCTGTTTGCAAACCAGCTCCTCAGTTCCCACACTGAAGGGACAGGGGAGTCTGTCCCTATGTTAGAGCTGGGGAAACTGAGGCGGGGACACTGCCTACCCAGTGACACACAGCAAAAATCTAGTGAGGCAGAACCACACTCTGAGCTTTGTACTACGTTACAAGCCCAAATCATATCCTCTGCTGCTCAGGCTAAGAAGCTGGCAAACCAGATGTGAGCCTAGCCCCATCCCATAACTCCTTGCTCCTAGCTGTGTCCCTTCGTGACAGAGGGCCAGGAGGGATGCCTTTGAGGGTGGGAAGCAGGCAAGACCAGCTCAACCCTCCAGCCTCCTTTTGATCAGTGCTGGATCTCCAGCCTCTGGGTTCCTTTCCACCCTGCTGAGTCCTGGAAAAGTAAATACACATTTGTCACCCTGACAACACAATGACAGGAAACGAGGCTGCTGCAGACAGGGCACACAATGCCCACACAGCACGCCTGCCAAGTGGGGCTGCCCACCCTGGCCAGTCCCAGTGGTCCAGGGACAGCCAGGCGACCTGCAGAGGCAGGGACCAGAAAGTCTGACAAAATGTGACTCCCAGGTGCAGCCAACCCAGGTTTGCCTGTTAGTCCGCACCCAGCAGGATACCACTTCTGAGAAAACAGGTGAAGGTGTGCCAGCTGGCAGTTTTACCCACAACCCATCCATGTGCTGAGTGATAGGGGACTGGGATGAGGGCTTCTGAATCTAGATGAGCTCATTTCTGGGCCAGTTACTCCCTTCAACCCCACTGGCTTCTTGGCTGTCCTCCAACCTCCTGAAGCACAGGCCCGAGAGAAGCTGGCAGAGGATGGGAGATGCTTAGTTTCTTCCTGAGGCTGGAGAGACCCTGAGGCCCTGTCACATCAAATGAGGCTGGTGGCCTGAGCCTGCCCCTGCCTCCGTTGGAGCTGCCAGTGCTGTGGAGAGGCAGAGGCCCTGGCAAGCACAGGCCCCAGGAGCCCCGGGCTTGCTTCTGCAGCACCTGACCCCACCGGGGCAGCCTCGGTTCTACCTTGCCTGTTCTGGAGGGAAAGCACCATGCACCTGTGGAGAAGGTTATTGTGCCGCACCATCCGCAGGAAGCCAGTGGGGTCAGTCAACGAGTTGAGCTTGCTGTTCATCTCTTCAAACTGCTGGTCCATGATGTCTCCAGCTTCACTTTCTGTCTCGCTGCTGGCACAGGCCCTGTGGAAAACATCAGAGAGCCATCAAAGAAACAATATGCTGGGCTACAGAGTTGGCGCTGAGGTCCTGGGCCATCTGCTACCCAGAAAACCTCAGTCCTGGCATCTTCTGGTGCCAAGGTCTTCCAATTGCCTTCCACACCACAGCTTGTCTGTATGTACCTGTGGCCTGCACAGAGCTGTGACTTATGCAGATAGAGTGGGGTGTAAACAGCACTTCACCCCTGCATCTAGCACAGGCCTGGAGGGGCCAGCCACTCCAAAGGACAAAGGACAGAACCCCCAGGATAGGGTATCCTCTAGTCCATTCCAGAAATATTAACTGAGCACCTACAATGCGTCAGGCAGGGTGCTAGACCCAGGACACAGCTTAGAGAGACGTTTCCAGATAAGGAGAGGCACTCACTGGTAGTTTCTACAGGTGATACAGGCTCTGTTGAGAAAGGCTGCTTGTTAAGCCCCTTCCTCAAGAGCAGCAGAGGCTGTGACCAGTCTTGAATTGTTCATACTGCCTCTGTGACAGACTTTAACGGAACACCTTAAACATATTCTGAATAACAGAAAAGATCAGTGGTGCCCCGATTCACTTGATGACTAAAATGTCTAGTGACTTGCTCAGTGTAAATGACACACTGTGCCCAAGGAGATGAAGAAGGCCACAGTGAGGCCCTGTGTCGCCTGCACCCACCCTCCTCCACCCATAGCCTCCCAGACAAAGGCTCATAATAGCATCAGGCCCAGGTCATGTTCCCTCTCAGCTCATGAAGTTTCCTACTGTCTAGCTTCCTGTGGGGGAGTGGGGGAGTGCCAGGGTACTGGAGGCAGAAGACAGACTCCTCCGCCTCTCGTGCTGGGTGAGTGGGGCTCAGGGGATGCCAGGCTCCTATGACTGAGCAAGAAGAGGCCTGGGGTGGAAATGTGGGCATATGGTGAATGAGATTTGTGCAAGGGGCCAGGATGGTGGCATCAGTGACCGACAAGGCCATGAGCCCCTCACTGGGTTGTTTAGGAGTCATGGGACAAGCGACATGCATGTCTTCTTGGTGAGCTTGATGCTGTGGGAACACGGTCCAGGTAAGTGTTCATTCCAGGTCACCTGGACTAGGTCTTCCTGGGCTCTGAGACTTGTAGGTGGCTATTTTAGGGTCTATGAGTGAGATGACCTTGAGCTGGTTCACTGAGGACAGAGATCATCTCCCCAGTGTGAGTGGACACCTCAGTCCACCTGCCAGGCCTGATGGAGCAGGCAGCCAGCCCCTCTCTGTCCTGTCCCTCTGTCTCTACATTCACCCTCAGGCTGGAGTTGACAGCACTGGCACTCTCAGGTCCCAGACTGATGACTGTGGATCCCAGGACTTCTTCATCTCCAAAACTATGCAACTAGTTCCCTGTAGTAAATTTCTTTCATTTCTTTATATGAATAAATTTCTACATATTAGGTACATTAATTTTGTATATTTAATATACTATTTTATACAAATGCATATTTGTGCATATATAAACATATATGTGCGTATATATATTTATGTATATGCATATGTCTGTCTTGATTCTGTTTCTCAGGTGCACCAAGACGGAAACCTCTAGTAAGTTGTATATAGATACAGGTCTTGGGCAAAACAAGCTAGATTGTGAGTTCAAGGTCAGCTTGGGCTATGAGGCATGTTTGAATAGAGCGTAGGCCATACAGCAAGACACTGTCTCTATGAAAAACAAAGAAAAACAAACAAACAAACAAATAAAAATTAAGCAAACACAAAAACCCCAGCAGTAATCTCAGAATCATACTCTTGGCTGGTAGCGACCTGATTGTTAGGCTCCCTCCTTCCCAGCGCACTGTGTGGAGGAAGCTCTGACAGGGCGGTACCTGGCATCTGTGGGCACGCAGAACCATCAAACAAATGTACACACTGGAGAGATTTCCCTGTGGGACAGCCCACAGGGAAGGAGGTGGCTCTGTGTATCTCCTGAGAGCTGAGGGGACAGTGGCTTAGCGGAGCCGAGGAAGCTGGCCCAGTAGCACCAAGAGGTGGAGGCAGGCATACTGACTACCTCCTTTTTCTTCCCCTATGAGGTTCTGAGCCTCCCCAGCTTCACTTTTCTTTCCTTGAGGGGTTGACATGAGCAAGGGCTGACAACAGCAAACTCTCAGCATGTAACATCACCAGGACCCCTATCACAATGGTGTGGCGAGTGGCAGAGCAGGGGAGCCGTCCATCCTTCTGCTGCCTCAGCAGGCAGCAGCAGGCTAAGGTCTGAAATGGCCCTTAGGAATGGGAGCGCTTCACAGAGACCCTGGGTGGGAAACATTGCTCAGTGAGCGCTTGTGTCCAAGGACATACTTATCATCTGAATGTGATGGGATGCTGGGAGCCGAGATATCTGCCTGTCACTCAGTGCCTTGAGAAGGGGACCAGCTGGCCTAGCAGCACCCACGGTCTCCTCTTCACTGTAGCTGTCAGGTGCAGACCTTGGAACCTCATGCTTAAGGGGTACATCTCCTACTTCTGATCCTTCGGGGAGGAACATGGAGGGGAAAAACAAACACATGATGTCATCAATAAGGAAACTTCCCATTTACAAATAGGCCTGGTCTGTGTGGCACAGTTTTCAAGGTGCATGCCACCAGTCCCACGTCACAGCTCCTGCCCACATCCATTCCTCCCAGCGACTCCCTACAGAGTAGCCACCACAGACCCTGGGTTACCCTGAGTGTCAGCCCAGATGACTGAGTGGGTCTTAGGGGCTCATGACCTGAGGGTTACTGACAGCAGCCTTTGGGGCCCTTCTTGTCGAGGGTGGTGCATAGTCTTTAAAGCTTTATTTCTTACTAACCAGTCCCTATACTCCAATCTCTATACGGTTAACAACCAACCGTTCAAATGGCTGAGTGGTCTTCTATTCCCACCTTGATACAACAGACATACTATATCTGCAAACAAACAAACAAAAAAGAAAATATATCATGCTATTTCCAAATGCTGACTGAGATTAAGAAAAGTAAGTTACATTTTGGTGCAATCACTCATTCACTGGCCATTAGGCTGACCAATCCTCAAAAATACTCATTGTGAGCCAGGTGTGGTGGTGCATGCCTGTTATCTTGGCACCTGGGAGGCTGAGGCAGGAGGATCACGAGTCCAAGGCCTGCCTGGGATACACAGCTCAAGTCCCTGTGTCAATTTTTTTTTCCTGTCATGCAACTAGTGTGTACCAGGTCCTTACAGAGGCTAATGTGACTTCAAATGGAGACAGCCTCTGCCCTTGAGAAGCTGAAAGCAGGTGCTAAATGGTCATGCTGACCTCTTCCACATGAAAAACTTCAACACAGTAGTAGGTGCACATTACATGGAAAAAAGAACTGGGGGGCAGTCAGAGAGGGAGGACACCCATAGATCATCAAGAACCCACCACAGTGCCGTGCAGAAAGCCCTCTGCAGAAAGACCATGCCTGGTCTTCTGATGGCCATGATGGGAGGCTGGTGGATGGTCAGAAGGCTCTGGCATTACAGGCAAAATTAGGAGTCACAGCTCAGTATAGAAGGTAGTGAAGGCCTCCAGGAGAGAGGTGCAAGCCAGGAGGCAGATGGAAGGAGCGGAAGGAAGGCCCTGGATGCCAAGACCTGCCCCGTCTTCTCCCTGCTCTGCTTGCATTCTGGCCTGTCCACCAGTCCCTGGCCTGTCTGTCTCATCCCTCGCTCTGACCAACATAGTCTCTCCCTTTCCTTTGTGGCTTTCTTGGCCTAATGATCTTAGTTCCAACTTCCTTCCCAGTCCCTTTCTACTCCTGAGCCCCCGAGGGTCCCTGTTCTTGCTCCAGTTCCCTGGTAGGCGCCTTTTGGTCAGCTAGGACTGGTCCCCTGCCTGGGGCTGCTGGAGGTTGTTTAGATCACCAAGGCACAGAAGACAGGGAGGACAAAGGTCACAGTTAGCAGGGATAGCTAAAGGGAGAACATGAGGCTGGCATTCTGGTGAGGGCTGGCAGGAGGGGGTGAGAGAGCAGCACTGAGGGAGCAACTTCTCAAAGGTGCCCACCTACATTGCCCACATTGGGTGCAGGCCCTGTGAGTCTAGCCTGCCTGACCTGGGGAACATACATCACACCCAAGATGCTGCCCACTGTGGCCATCCCCTGAAAGAGAAAGACCATGAATCAGCACCACAGAACTGTATCAAGATTCTTCCTGCTCTGGAGACAGGATGTGGCAAGAGGCCCCAGCAAGGATTCCGTTTGCAAGGATGGATTCCTGCAAGCACACGCTGTCCAACACTCCTCTGACAGCGGGGCTGGAGCTCCACACGGGCACACGCCATCCATGCTGCAGCATCTTTGCTAACTCATCCTTTCCGATCCCCTACCCTCATCTCTAAGCTTTTCTTGAACCAACAAGCTTTTCTTACTTGCTGAAGATTGACCACTTGCCACCTTGAAGCTGGACAGGACAACAAGTTCTTCAGCCTCCTGTGCACAGGGCAGGGGGAAAGCTCCACCCCCTAAACCCCACACTCATGCAAGGACCCAAGGCAGTCAGATAGCCCTTCCTTCAGAGCAAAGATCTCTTTCCAGATGGTGACTTTCCAGGAGAAAGTACCTCTGCTACCACCACACACAGTGCCCTAAGCCCCCAACTGCAGAGTCTGCGTCAGGAGGCAGAGGACGAAGGCACTTGGGCAATAAGTATCTTGTGCATTTACTGGGTTTCACGTGTCTCTGCCAGCAGCTGAGAACCCATTTCTCCAGAAGCCAGTTGGAAGAGCGCAAGACATTGAAGAAGTAAGGCTTCCAGAGCTCAAAAACTCCAAAAACTTGGGGACCTTTGAAGCCCTCCCTGGGAAGCATTTGTACTCACCGCCCCCCCCCATTCTTTCACTGTGATGCTGGTAAGCCTTTAAGATGAGAAGAACCTGGCCTTTGCTTTGGTGGGGTGTCCCACTACATAGGTGGTCTCAGTAGAGGCAGAGCATGCTGGAGTGGAGGATGGGGGTGGTGCCGTAGGCAAC